ACTACTATGTTAGCTAGCACATTAGTTAGCACAAGGCACACTGTGGTATGGGAAGCAATGTGTTGAGTGAAGAAAGAGCACTGGATTAAGTACTGGGGAAGCCAGGTTCTGTAAGTGTTACTAATTCACTGTGTGGTCTTGGGCAAGTTGCTCTGCTTGTGTCCATGTCTACAAAATGAGGCTGAAGCATCAGATGAGTTTCAGGGTCTCTTCATTAAAAACACTTTAAAGAAACCACTATTAAGCAGAATAGCTTTTAAAAACAAAACAAAACAAAAACCTTAAAATGTCAGAACCAGAAGAGACTTAAAAAAATCATTTAAGCCAGTAGTTCTCAACCTGGAGGAAACTGTTAAAATGCAGAGGTAATAGAGACATGTGAAGAAAAACGCAGATATTCAGGCCTAAGAAAAGGTCCAAAAATCTGTTAATTTTAACTAATTCTCAAAGGAGTCTGATGTAAACAGATTAAAGCTGTTCTTTAAGATCAGGCTGACAGGCTAGCCAGGAGACAGAAATCCAGGTATAAGGCTAAAAGGGTCCAGACAATAGCTTCTGGAAAGCATGGTTTAACACCACATATCAACTTTAATAGCCAAAACAAATTAAGCAAGCAGCTTTTCTTTATAACTGCCAGGCAGAAGAAAATGCTTTGATGTATTTGGGGCAAAATAACACACTGCAATGATCTAAGTCAAGTTATTCTGTGATGGAGGCGGAAGGATTATATTTGCATACTTATTTTTAAGATCAGGAAACAAGAACTGCTGTGTTCTTAAAGTCAGTTTCATAAGAGTAGAAATTCACATCTGCTTAGGGAAAACTAGGAGCATATTTGCATCTCTTTATTGCACTTCTTTATGGCAAGTAAAACTACAGCTGTAGAAATAAAATAAAAACCCTCCCCGCCAAAATCAAGACACATCAAATTAAATAAATTATATTAGGCTAGGTGTGGTGGTGCACGCTTGTAAACCCCATACTTTGGGAGGTCAAGGCCGTTGGATCACCTGAGGTCAGGAGTTCAAGACCAGCCTGGCCAACACAGTGAAACCCTGTCTCTACTGAATATACAAAAATTAGCTGGGCATGGAGGCGCATGCCTGTAATCCCAGCTACTCAGGAGACTGAGGCAGGAGAATTGCTTGAACCTGGGAGACGGGGGTTGTAGTGAGTAGAGACTGCGACAAATTGAGACTCTGTCTTAAAAAAAAAAAAAAAAAAGAAATTATATTAAAGGTAATGGACTCATTCCCACAGAGCAAAAGTCTATTAGTTCAGATCCTGCTCCAGAGAATAACATTTTTTTCCCCCAAGTTCTCTCCCACAGTACCCTCAGTCTTCAAACAATTAGAGGCACCATCCTCTAAAGCCGATTCTGAAGACTGAGGTGACAGATCTCAAGTTGTTTCTGTGCGAAATTCAATGCGAAAAGTACTTATCCTGTGTTGATCACTATAGAGAAGCACTCACAGGAAAATAGGCAAATACAAATTGGTGAAATAATACAAGATAGTATGTCATATTAAGTGACAGTTTAATTCCCATGTGCAGTGTAAGTGCTAGAGGAATTCAGAGAGGGAACAGTTCAATGTAAGGCTGAAAATCAAGTTTTCCAAGAAAAAGCACTCAAGCAGCTCTTGACTATTTTGTCTCTTCCGTCCCTCACTTATTGGATAAATCTTCCAAGCACTCTTTTGTGAGACCTTTTATCTATTTCTGCTACTCATGTTGGGGTTCTCATCACCTTGTCATTCTATTTTTACCATAGACAGCCCTGCACAAAGAACATTTACTTCTAGTAGATTCCAAAGGACAGGGAACAGAGTTGGGTGCGGTGGCTCATGCCTGTAATTTCAGTACTTTTGGGAGGCTGAGGTGGGCAGATCACTTGAGGCCAGGGATTCAAGATTAGTCTAGGCAACACAGTGAGACCTTGTCTCTACCAAAAAAAATAATAAAAATAAAAAGGGCAGAGGAAACCAAACAAAAAAACCCAAAGAACATTTACCAGCACTATACAATGTGATCCTTACTGTAACATGTACGAATGCCCACAATATTTACATAAGGAAATTTCAATTCAGCAATATCACACAACTTATCCAAGGTCATGTGGCTTTTATTAGGTAGGTGCAAAAGTTATCGTCGTTTTTGCCATTACTTTCAATGGCAAAAACAGCAATTACTTTTGCACCAACCTAATAACATGCTGCACTAAAACTCAAATTTGTCTCTTTTTATTATATATTATACACTACTGTGTATATGGCCTTATTAAGAAGTCTTCTAATTTCTCTCTCTCCAAACCATCTGACTAGTTTTCCTAAAAACCACTTTACACAGTCTCAAAACCCTTCAACAGCTTTCTTCTCCTACTTCAAGCAATCCATGGCCTCCCTAATCGGATTCTATCTACTTGTCCCTACAGTTCCTTTAGAGAGCCTTCTAGTCAACTCAATAACTGAGAAACATTAAACACCATCATATCTGTGTACCTTCACTCAAGGAGACTTTTTTTTACCTGGCATGACTTTCCTTTCTCCCCCCAAATAAGGTGCCAGTTCCACTCTCAGGAATAAGGCCTTTCCTTGAGGCTCTTACTCTTCTTTTTTTTTTTTCCCCCCCGAAGTGGATTTCCCTCTCGTTGCCCAGGCTGGAGTGCAATGGCGTGATCTTGGCTCACTGCAACCTCCACCTCCCAGGTTCCAGCAATTCTCCTGCCTCAGCCTCCCGAGTAGCTGGGATTACAGGCATGCGCCACCACGCTCGGCTAATTTTTAGTAGAGACGGGGTTTCTCCATGTTGGTCTGGCTGGTCTTGAACTTCCGACCGCAGGTGACCCGCCTGCCTTGGCCTACCAAAGAGCTGGGATTACAGGTGTGAGCCACCGCGCCTGGCCGAGGCTCTTACTCTTATCAATAAGCTTGCAGGGATCACTCTCTCTCTCTCTCATTTGAACTTCTCTAACAAGTACACACTTGCGCGAATATACCATATACTTCCTTAAATAGATTCAATTACCCCATCTTCTAGATTCAGCAATTCTGAGTGCTCTCTGATATTAGGATTCTTGATTTACTCCTCCACCATCACACATTGTACCAGACACTACAGGTAATGGAGATCATTAATGTGTACTGTCTTACTTGGTTCTTCCCAAAACCCCGTGATACAGGTGCCAGAGATTCTAAAATTCCAAATGAAGAAACGTTAATTGATTTGCCAGTCTTCATACTGTTTGCAAGTAGCAGAAATACTTCAAAGCTGAAATCTTATGATCCCCAAATCCAGGTTCTTTCAATAACACAATGGTGCCATATACACTATTCCATAATAATAGTATTCCATACTGCCTTAGCAGAATGCCCATACTTTGCTGATGATAATCCCACTGCAAGGAAGAGCAAGAGCAGTTAGTCGGTCAGGTAAGCACAGGTTGTTAGGCGCTTACCCAGGAAGAGGGAAGGATTTGTGTACACAAATGACCATCAATTCCCCATACTCTCATGTCTTGAAGCAATTTACCATCCCAACCTTCAGAATATGTTTCTGTATCTTAAGGTTTGAGTGTGAGGCCAGGTGCATGGTGACTCATGCCTGTAATCCCAGCACTTTGGGGAGCCGAGGTGGGAGGATCACTTGAGGCCCAGGAATTTGACACCAGCCAGGGCAACACAGTAAGACCCTGACTCTACAGAAAAGTTAAAAGCAAAAAAATTAGCCAGACGTGGTGGTGCACATTTGCAGCCCCAGTTACTCAGGAGGCTGGGGTGGGAAGATCACCTGAGCCTCGGAGTTCAAGGCTGCAGTGAGCTAAGATCCATTCTGGGCAATGGAGTGAGACCCCTCACAAGAGAAGTGTGTGAGAACCATGTCTTTCAAAAGCAATGACACTCAAAAAGACAAGTAAAAAGACCTGGATCTGAATCCCTCAACATAATCAAGTTTTCATTTCTTAAGCACCTACCATGTGTTATGCACAGGGAAGTCAGAAAGCTGTTTTCAATTAAATTCAAAAATCCTGTTTACTAAAGACACCATGCTTAACAATTCTCATCAAACCAGCCCAAGGTCCTACAATGAGAGAACTGGAAGGGAATTTAGGGTTAAGTCCCTCATTTTAAGGCTAAATCTCTCACTTTGCAGATGAGCAAATAGACATAGAGAGAGCAAGCATATTTCACGGTCACAAAGCTAATTAGAGGCAAAATCAACACTAGGACGAAGTTCTCCATCCATCTGTTTCTTCCAAGATGCTGTGCAAAGAGCAAGAAGGGCCAACCCAGGGACAGTTTTCCTTTTGTTCTTTTCTTTTAAGCCCTTGTTGCTAGGACTGCAGTTAAAAAAAAATTGGATGAGCAGAGGAGGAAAGGGACAAGCGTGAGCGGGCAGCAGTGCACTTGGTAGCAAACAGGGAGGTAGAGGGGAGAGAGGAGAGGGCGGGGAAAAACAATAGAAAGAAAGAAAAATCTTAAAGGCTTCTTGTCAGCCCAGTAGAAGAGTCAATACTCAAATATTTTAAGTATTCGCCTATCATGATTAAATGCCTAAAAAGTAAGCAAAAGGACAAGAAGCACATTGGAATCTGTAGCGGCACGCAAGGCTGATGGTGGTAGGGAGTTTCGGGGATATCGATTCTTGAATCCTTGGGCTTCGGTTTTCCGTGTCTGTGAAATGGGCACTGGCAACAGTGCACCCAGCACCCCAGGGGAAAAGCGATGGACACAATTAAGTATAGGAAGAACCAAATTACCGAAAAAGCTGTGGCGGCCAGGACCAGAACACTTACGAGAAGCGAAGAAGTCCTAAAGAGGAGAGGGTCCAGGTTTGAAGTGTGATGAGGGCAGGCTACAAGCGTGCGTAGGGTTGTCATAGTGGTCACGCAAGGGCTCCCCTCAAAAGGCCGTAGAAAATAAGGGAGACCGGGATGGGAAGGTGGGTTCGCCGCCTCCCAGGCCTCCCCAGGATTCAACTTTTCCCAAGAACCGGCTCCTCACCTTATCCAACAAGCCGCTACGGCCACTGCCTGTCCCGCAGTTGGAACCACCGCCAGCCCCACTATTGCCTCCGAGACCACCGCTTCTCCCGCCCTGTGTAGCTGCCGCCGCCATGTTGTGCGCCTCTGCGTCTCCCTCCCCTCCGACTTGTCTGAAGCCGATTGGCTGGAGCTGACAGCGTGGCGCCCCGCGCGGAGTCAATCGGGATCCGTAGTTTGGGGCTTGCTGGCGCGAGGTAGTCAGAGGACGCGGCCGCGGGGCTTGCTGGGACTTGTAGTTAGACGTCCTGGCCGTCGGTTGCCGCCTACGCTGTCTGCCGTCGCGTCCCAGTTACTAAGGCGTCGGAAAGGTAGCGGCAGGTACCACCGTGGAGCTGCTCCGAGATCCCCGGGAGGCTCGCAGGCGCGCATCCCTCCTGACTGGGACTTCGCCTCCGCAGACCCCTCGGAGGCTGAAGCGACGCCGGAGGCAGGTGCGACTGAAAACTTAGTTTCCGAGTTTGAGTATTTCTGCGGCCCAGGTGTGGAGTTTCCGAAGGAGTGGGCAGGAGCCGGTCTTTCATCCTTTTCTAGCCTGGTTGTGGCACTTACTGATTGTTTTCTCAAGCAGCTGTCATTTTAGCTGTTAGTAATGTTTTCGTGTTACGGAGAACTCACATTTACTGAGTGCCTAATGTCTGCCAGGCAATATCCTATGTGCACTTCCAGCCATCCTCCCTCTCACTGAGTCCCACAACATCCCTGTTAGGTGAGGAGGAAACTAAAGAACCTACCCAAAGCCAGATAGCATGTATCTGAACTCGGTTTTCAAGCCGGCATTAAAAAAAATCAATATATATCCCTTCTGACACTCTGCTTTTACGGTTTTAGGATGTAATAGGAGTCTACATTTTAATTAATACTTTTTTTCACAAATATATATTGAGCACCAATATTGTACTGATGGATACAAGGGATCAAGATAGACCTGGTTGCTACTCTGGTGGAACTCCTACTCCATGACAGAGTTATCAAATAGCAGAATTGTATTATACTATGCTCTATTACATTGTATTGTTTTTTAATTCCTATATATCCCCCATAAGCATCTAAATAATTAAATATATTTGAGTTGCTTGCTATGTAGCAGGCCCTATTCTAGTCACCAGGGATATGTTCCTGAATAAAATAGACAAAAACTTGTCTTGGGGAAGCCAAAATTCATGTGAAAATAATTATTATCTAGGCTGGGCATGGTGGCTCACGTTTGTAATCCCAGCCGAGGCAGGTGGATCACCTGAGGTCAGGAGTTTAAGGCCAGCATAGCCAACATGGTGAAACCCCGTCTCTATGAAAAATACAAAAATTAGCCGGGCGTGGTAGCGTACGCCTATAATCCCAGCTACTTGGGAGGCTGAGGCAGGAGAATTGCTTGAATCTGGGAGGCAGAGGTTGCAGTGAGCCAAGATCAGAAAGAAAAGAAAATAATTATCAGTAAATAACTAAATTATTACTAAAAAGAAAATAATTTTCACTATGTAACAATAACATAAGATGACATTTCATTACCTCTCTGAAGCAATCCCTGGACACTCTAGTCAGATGCCCCTGTAGCTTGTTGCCATTTATCTTTTACAACTTCTTATTTTTCTTTTATTTAAAAGAAAATGAGATGATATACCTTTGCCCTAGTCACTTTTTTTTTTTTTTTTTTTTTTTTTTGGAGACAGAGTCTCACTCTGTCACCCAGGTTGGAGTGCAGTGGTGGGATCTTGGCTCACTGCAACCTCCGCCTCCTAAGTTCAAGCAGTTCTTGTGCCTCAGTGTCCCAAGCTGTAGTCTCTGTAGCTGGGACTACAGGCACATGCCACCATACCCGGCTAATTTTTATATTTGTAGTAGAGAAAGGATTTTGCCATGTTGGACAGCCTAGTCTTGAATTCATGACCTCAAGTGATCGATCTGCTTCGGCCTCCCAAAGTGTTGGGATTACAGGTACGAACCACTGTGCCAGGCCAACTTCTCATCTTTCAAGATCCAGCTCTAATGTCACCTACCCTGTGAAACTATCCCTGATACTTGCTTCTTCTTTCTTCACCCACTGCATGAAGTGCTTCCATGGCATTTTGTTCATGAGTTGGGTTAGTTCAATTAACACTCATTGAGACTCTTCCTTCAGTAAGCCAGGTCCTGTGTAAGATGCAGGATAAAGAGATAAGTAGGACCCAGGCCTGACCTGATCTTGGAGATACTCACAGCCTGGTAGTGAGGTGGGGAACAGACAAGGAAGCAGGCATTATAATACAGTATAGTATACTGCCTGTATTAGTCCATTTTCACACTGCTATAAAGAACTGCCCAAGACTGGGTAATTTATAAAGGAAAGAGGTTTAATTAATTCAACATGGGTTCTTTTCTATTTCCCTAAGTATTGACTGGTCTGAGAAATAAAGGCAAAGAGTACAAAAGAGAGAAATTTTAAAACTGGGTGTCCGGGGGAGACATCACATGTCGGCAGATTCTGTGATGCTCCCTGAGCCGTAAAACCAGCAAGTTTTTTGTTAGTGATTTTCAAAAGGGGAGGGAGTGTACGAATAGGGTGTAGGTCACAGAGATCACATACTTCACAAAGTAATAAAATATCACAAAGCAAATGGAGGCAGGGCGAGATCACAGGACCACAGGACGGGGCAAAATTAAAATTGTTAATGAAGTTTTGGGCATGCATTGTCATTGATAACATGTTTATCAGGAGACAGGGTTTGAGAGCAGACAACCGGTCTGACCAAACTTTATTAGGCAGGAATTTCCTCGTCCTAATAAGCCTGGGAGTGCTATGGGAGACCAGGGCTTACTTCATCCCTTTGTCTACTATTGTAAAAGACAGCCGTCCCCAAAGCGGCCATTTTAGAGGCCTCCCCTCAGGGACGCATTCTGTTTCTCAGGGATGTTCCTTGCTTAGAAAAAGAATTAAGGGATAGTTCTCCTATTTGCTTTTGAAAGAGGAGAAATATGGCTCTGTTCCGCCCGGCTCACAGGCAATCAGAGTTTAAAGTTATCTCCCTTGTTCCCTGAACATTGCTGTCATTCTGTTCTTTTTTCAAGGTGCCCAGATTTCATCTTGTTCAAACACATATGCTCTACAATTTGTGCAGTTAACACAATCATCACAGGGTCCTGAGGCAACATACATCCTCCTCAGCTTACAAAGATGACAGGATTAAGAGATTAAAGACAGGCATAGGAAATCACAAGGGTATTGATTGGGGAAGTGATAAGTGTCCATGAAATCTTCACAATTTATGTTCAGAGATTGCAGTAAAGACAGCCATAAGAAATTATAAAAGTATTCATTTGGGGAACTAATAAATGTCCTTGAAATCTTCACAATTTATGTTCTTCTATCATGGCCTCAGCCAGTCCCTCCGTTTGGGAGTCCCTGACTTCCTGCAACAAACTCACAGTTCCGCATGGCTGGAGAGGCCTCAGGAAATTTACAATCATGGCAGAAAGGGAAGAGGCAGGTCTTACATGGTGGCGAGCAAGAGAGGGCAAGAGTGTGAAGGAGGAACGGTCAGACAGTTATAAACCCATCAGATCTCGTGAGAGCTCACTCACTATCATGAGAACAGCATAAGGGACCACCTCCATGATCCAGTCACTTCCTACCAGGTCTCTCCCTCAACACGTGGGGATTATGGAGATTACGGTGGTTACAATTCAAGATGAAATTTGGGTGGGGACACAAAGCCCAACCATGTTTGTGCCTCCATTAAGAAGTGGGCTTGATGGCTGGACAAGGGGGCTCACGCGTGTAATCCCAACACTTTGGGAGGCTGAGTTGGGAGTTTGAGGCAGCCTGGGCAACATGGTGAAAACCCATCTCTATCAAAAATACAGAAATTTAGCTGGGGATGGTAGCACACATCTGTGGTCTAGCTGCTTGGGAGGCTAAGGTGGAAGGATTGCTTGAGTCTGGGAGGTGGAGGTTGCAGTGAGCTGAGATCATGCCACTGCACTCCAGCCTGGGTAACAGAGTGAGATCTTGTCTCAAGAAAAAAAGAAAAAAAAAAGTGGGCGTGAGGAGACTCAACCTAAGGAGAGGGAGATATAGGAAAGCTAATCTGTATGTAGCCAGGCAAGGAAGAGGGTCAGAAATGTGATAGGCCAAAGGAATGGAACAAGCAAAAATATGCGTTACTGCGTGTGTATGTGTGTGTGTGTGTGTGTGTGAGAGAGAGAGAGAGAGAGAGACAGGGAGACAGGGAGAAAGAGAGAATGTTTGTTTTGGAGGAAGCACTACAGCCAGATTGGCATTAGTTGTGTCAAGTTTGAAATAGAGACCAGAGGTAACTAAAGCTAACCAGGAAGTCAGCCTCCAAGTCTGGAACTTTGACTTTTTTTTCCTACTGTATGAAGTTCTTACTTGTCTTAGATAATGTAACCTAGGGGTTATGTGCCCTTCTTGGCCCATTAGTTGTAGATCCACACCTTCTCACCTAATATTCCTAATAAGGAACTGGAATTTCTACGATAGCATCCAGGTCTGCATGCCTCCTACAAGCTTGAGTGTGAGTCATCTTTTGTATTATATGTATGGCAATATCTTTTCCCAGACTGTGTCTTATCTTTCAACTTTGACTTTGCTATTTTTATCTGGCAGAAATTTATTTTGTGTAAATAATCATGTAAACAATCCCTTCCTTTGAGATTTGTGCTTTATGTGTCTGATTTAAGCACTCTAGCCATACCCCACTATCATAATTATATTCTCCTATACCACCTTCCCATCTATGTCTTGTCTTTGTCTCCATCTCTGTATCTCTATCTATCTATTTCTTGGATCTTTAGTCCTATGGGTAAGGATTAAAGGCAAGACAAATTTTGGAGTAGAAGACTCACAGTAGAATATAATTAATGAGAAAGTTCAAGAGCTGTGAATAGCAGGCTAAAAAGGAATGTAATATTTATTCTACAGGCAAAGAAACAAGTGAAGAAACAAAAAAAGAAGGAAGTCAAGGGGACATTCCCAAAGTCAAAGATCAAGTAAGTACTCTGGAGACCTGAAACCAGGTCACCATATTCTTTAAGTTACTGACGTCTTCTCCGACAGCCATCATACCTAACATTTTCCAGCCGGCAAATTACATCATATCTAACATTTTCCAGCCAGCAATTTA